TTTTTTTTTTTTTTTTTTAAGGGTTGCATGTACTAAGAAAATTTTGGGTGGGTTGGGTGAAGTGGCATTTAAAAAAAAAAAACTCATCTCTGACGCGCAGTGTTTTTCTTTTATTTTTTATTTTTCCTTTTTTTTGTTTTTTTTTCCTTGGCTCACCCCACCACATTCGCCATAAGCCCCATATTGTAATGACATAAAAACAAAAAATCGAAATAACCTACAAAACAACAAACAAAAATCCTCATTTTAGCTGGTTCCCTGATTTCTCTTCTCTTTTTTAATTACAAAACTTCATGAAAGAAAAAATAACTATGTAACCGTTTGAACGCGGTGAACGCGCGTTCGCGTTCAAATGTGCGTTTGAACGCGGATTGCGCGTTCGCGTTCAAAAATAGAACGGCGTTCAATTTTTTTTATTTTCTTCAAAAAATATTTTCGATGCCTTAAACTATTTTGGTTTTTCTGATTTTTTGTTGTGAGTTCTATATGATGTATGCTACATGTCTGTAAATTTTGGAGTCATTTTGCCAAAGGAAAAAAATAAAATAAAAAAAATCGCCAAAGATGGCGGTGTCAAATCATGTTCGCCCACTAATTTCAATTCTGTTTTTACTTTTTTCTATTTTCTGTTCTCTATTTTTATTTCGAATTTGATAGCGAATTTGGACATGATTCTCTGGCAAAAGTTGTTTATTTTATTGTTCTTCATAACATATTTTGTTTTCGAAACTTTTAGAGAACTTGTTTTTTTTTTTTTTTTTTTTTTCCTGCGCGGAATTGAACTCCACGTTCGGTCGCGTTCACTGAACGCGCTTTCATTCCGTTCAATTTCTGAACGGAAAACCCGCGTTCAATGAACGCGCGATAACATAGAAAAATAATGAAAAAATTATTGGGAGGTACCCCCCGATAATCCTCACCCTCCTACAAAAAAAAAAACCAGCCAAAAAATAAAATAAAATATTTCTGCTCCATGCGACTGCCTTAAATGCCCGGTGTTCACTATTTTTGTGAGCGGTGACCGGGGTCTGGTCACAGACCCCCCCGCTATGAAACACCCGCGACCGTGGTCACCACTGGCACAACCGCAGACCGATGGGACCGTGGCTGAGGCCGCGGTCTGCCGCGGTCCGCCACGGCCAAGGGGAGAGGGGGTTGGGTGTGGGGGTTTCGGATTGGGGTTCCGAAACCCCGACTCTACCCCCTCGAACAGAAAACAGTTTAAAAAACATAATTTTTGGGGGGTGGTTTTTGGTGTGTGAAAAAAAAAAAAAAAAAAAA